AAGCACAGTTGGACTTAAGTGGCAGGGAAGAACAAGTAATGATGGAATTTCATGTTTTCTAATGATGGTGTTTCTTTATAGGAGCAGACATTAAAGACAAATTAAAGTGCTATGACTTCGATGTACATACAATGAAAACACTGAAAAACATCATTTCACCACCATGGGATTTCAGGGACTTTGAAGTAGAAAAGCAGAACACAGAGGAAGCGGGGCTTGCACCTCTGGAAAACGCCACTAAAACTCCAGAGTCCAGACCTTCCTTGGAAGAGACTTTTGAAATTGAAATGAACGAAAGTGACATGATGCTAGAGACGTCTATGTCAGACCACAGCACATAATCACAGCACTTAACTTCAGAGGTCCAGGGCCCACCCTCATGTGCCAGCGTAGGTCAGTGCTCCCTTGAAGCCTTGCTACGTCGTAAGGATTTCCCGGTTCCTGATGTGACTCCAAACTACATCTCTCCAGTTAGGACCAGCAGCCTGCATTAAGAGGTGGGACAGCAGACCTTGGCAACAGATGTTTTCTGATTTTCTGAACCTACAAAGTAATTAGTTACATGTAGCAGAATAAAGAAGGTCAACTGTTTGTTGTCTTTTTCATTGTCTTTTCCAATAAATTTATATTTGTGAATAACTTTAGAAGTTTCCAAGCTGGAAGAGTGTATCTGTTACCTTCTGTTGCTATGATAACATTCTGTGACCAAGGCAGCTACTGAAGGAAGAGTGGAACTGATTGTGCTGGAGAAGCAGTGCAGCAGGCAGGCAGAGCAGCTGCAAGGGGAACAAAGGCAGTTGCTCTCAAAGCCCGTCCAGTGACACACTCCTCCAACAATGACAGCATCTGGGGACTGAGTGTTCACATGCCCAAGTCTATGGGGAACACTCACTACCACACAGTTTCCGTCTGCTCCTTCCCTGGTGTGTCCCATTGTTAACATACTATTACCATGGGACATGTGTATTGGCTAAAACACTCTGATTGATATGTTGCTCATAGCTTCAGTTTCCCCCAAGGTTTGCTCCCTATTCCAGCACTCTAGAGGCAGAGGCAAGTGGATCTCTTGAGTTCAGGGCCAGCCTGGTCTGTGTAATGAGTTCCACGCTAGCCAAAATAATATAATGAGACTATCTTTAAAAATAAAGAGGACTGATGAAATGGCTTGAGTAGGTAAAGGCACTTGCTTCCAAGACTGACTGGGTAAGTTCAGTCCTGGCAATTCATGGTGACTCCACATGCTCACCAATGTGTGACACACAGATACAATATATAATGCCTCTAAGTTTGACTCTATTTCGTCTGATAGTGAGATTCAGCTCTCTTAGCTGTTTACAAGAACATTTTTTTTCTTACTGTTTTCCTTTCAACTTCTTTTAGCTGTATCTCTGCTAGACAATGATGTCCTCACCTACTGTGTCTGAAGCAAGATCTGTTTCACTACTGCTGCTACCCCAGGCTAGCTAGCCCATAAGCTTCTGGACCGCCTGTTTCTAGTTCCTGTCTTCCATACGAACACTGGAAGAGCAGATGGTTTGGTTCCAGAGTCCCTCCAAGTGAATTTTCACATTTGAGCTGTTCCATTTTTTTAGTTCCACAACTTCTGTTTCATTCCTTTTACAACAGTTAAATGAAAAACACCCATAGGCACTCAAAAGCAATTACTTCCTGTTGATTCCTGTTGATCATTCCTAGTGACTCCATTAGGAGTTCTGTGTGATTTCCATTAGCCCTTTGATCATACTTGTGTGTCTTTCATTCATGAATCCGGAGAGCTCTTGGGTGGGTGCAGCGCTCGTGACCTGCCGGGAGCTCAGAGCAGGTTAACTAGTTACCACCACTACATACTTGATATGGCTGACTGGCATCATTGACTAGTAATTTTATGTCTGGCCTTCCTCAGTTTTGTCCAGTCTTTTTTCCTTGCTATGTTAGCCATATTTTCCAGCTTTTTTTCTATGCTTTGTAATACTGTGTTGAGAAAAGCATACATTGACTACCTATTTACTTTAATAAATTTAATTTTACTGAAAATATTTTTTCATGTATTTTCATGTATTTTGAGCATGGTTTCCCTAAAGCATTCTTAGCTTGCTTGTTTATACAACCCAGGACCACCTGTGCAGGGATGGCACTGCCCACAGATGGCTGAACTCTTCCACTAAAATCATTAATCAAAAACCTGCCCTGTGTCAATCTGATGGAAACTATTCTAGGTGACTAGTTTGTTTCAAGTTCACAAAAACTAACCAACTCGGATGACCTCTTAACTTGACACATAAATCACCATTAAACGGTAACCTTTCCTTATTTACCATCAAGATGTAATACTACAATGTAAAGTATAACCTTCAAGGTCTCTGGTCTTTAAAAACTTGTTGAAGTTCAGTGACACTAAAAATATCTGCTCTCATAACTATAGGCTCAGAAACAAGTAGTTATTCCAAGAGAGAAGAAAGAACCAAAGCACAGTTACAATTGGATCAAAACAAGCAAAATCCAGCAATGTAAATAGTTTGTAATCTAACGTCTAGAACTTACTTGTGATCTCCTGGGCTCCAGGGGACTTGGGTAGCTCCATGTCTCAGGCTGGCTCTGCCATCCACAGCACACAGCGTCTCTGGTAGGCTTAGTTGGCTCTGCTCCTCACCTGACACTGTCCTACAGTCCTAGCATCTCCAGTATGCTGGAGTCTCCACTGCACCTTCACCAGTGGCCGCTCCTGGCGCCTTACAGTTTCAGTCTCAGATAATTTCTGTGACCTCCAAAATCTTGCAGCTTTTGTGCCTGCACCACCAGTACCACTCTGTGGGGTACACATTACCAAGTCGGCTTTCCTGCTTGAGATGCAGCATGACTGCATCTGGACCACAGTTTCTGTGTGCTGACCCTTAGGAAGTGTATCTAGAGAATTGCACCTTGATGATGCTGGTCAATCAAACTGATTCTTCATCCCCAGTTAGCCATCATTATTTGTCCCAGTAAAGACAGATTCTTAATCTAAATATCACAAGAACATGCCTGATAGTCTTGGTATCCCTATACTTCAGAAGGCCTCTCTATTCTTTCAATGGTGTCTTTCATTTTTCCACAACGCATTATACTCTGAGCACTTGATGGCTTTTCCAGTCCAGCCCCAAAGTTCCAAAGACTTCCACAGTCCTCAAAGACACACGCAAGAAAACATGGTCAGACTATTGGCAATAGCCCACTACCTACCATCTGTTTCTATCCTAGTTTTCTGTTGCTGTGATAAAATACTGAACAAAAGCAACTTGTGGGAGGAAGAGATTTAGTTCCTCTTACAGCTCTCAGGTCATAGACCATCACTGAGGGACGTCAGGGCAGAAATTCAAGTAGGAGTCTGGAGGCCAGAACTAGCAGGGCCACCGGGCGGTGGTGGCGCACGCCTTTAATCCCAGCACTTGGGAGGCAGAGGCAGGTGGATCTCTGAGTTCGAGGCCAGCCTGGTCTACAGAGTGAGTTCCAGGACAGCCAGGGCTACACAGAGAAACCCTGTCTCAAAAAAACAAAAAAAAAAAAAAAAAAAAAAAGAAAGAACTAGCAGGGCCATAAAAAATGCTGCTTATTGGCTTATTATAACCATGACCCACCTGCTCTGGGAGCCTGTCATGTCCAATAGTAAAGAAACTGTCCCACAGGCCAATCTGATGAAAACAATGCCTCAACTGATCTGTCTTCTTCACAACTATTTTGTGGCAAGCTGAGGTAAACTAACCAGCACAGTTTACCTGACAGTTGAGAAGGTGTTAGGAGACTAAAGCCAGCCCAAGATAATTCTGGCTCTGAGCTTGTAATGTTCCAACTTTCTTCCATTGTGATGTTACTATCCATTGGCCTTGTACAATCTTAACAACTGGGTATGGGTTGTTTTTTCCTGACAACTCATTTTCCACATTTTATCAGCTTCTCAGACATTCGGTTTTTTCCTAATAAGGTTAACATGCCATCATAGCTTTTGGTCAGCATAACTGGTTATTGCAAACTGACCTGGTTCAAACGGTGGGCTCAGAAGCCTAGCTTTCCTTGCAACATGAAATACTGGCAACTGCTCCTGCCCAGGCTTTTATAGAACTTTGATGTTTGAGTCCTTGTAAACGGGTTTGAGTCTTTGGCCTATTAAAAATGTCACATTTCAGGAGTGCTGCAACCGATATGGGACGTCATCGTGAAGCCTGGATACACTTAATATAAATCTCAATTTCTGAAATTCTCTAATTTTCCTTTCCGCTTAACATAAGGAGAAAGGTACTATAAATGAAAACTACAGCCAAACGCGAATAAGAAAAACTCGAGCACATAGGAAAACTGTACTGGGAAGCTGGAGAGATGGCTCAGAGGTTAAGAGCACTGACTGCTCTTCCAGAGGTCCTGAGTTCAATTCCCAGCAACCACAGGGACGCTCACAACCATCTGTAATGGGATCTGATGCCCTCTTCTGGTGTGTCTGAAAACAGCTACAGTGTACTCATATACATAAAAATGAATTTTAAAAAAAAGGAAAACTGTACTGTTTGTACGTCTGCTAATTTTTTTTTTTTGGCAGACGGTGGTGGGGAACGCCTTGAATCCCAGCACTCGGGAGGCAGAGGATCTGGGTTCCATGAAGACCAGAGAAACACGTAGGAGGGAGAGGGGGAGAGGGGCCGCAGTGGGGGGAGGGAGTGGGGCGAAGAGAGAGGTGTGTTTACTTCCGGTGCTGTCCCGGTGACTCTGGCTGGACCCGACACTGCTCTCTGCTCCTGGCTGTCGTGGACGCCGTCCACGTCGCGGATCAGCAGCGCACGGGATGTCCCGGGCGTGCATGTCCTCTCCGTGTGACAGCACTCATCTCCTTCACTGTCGTCGCTGCCCTAGGCTGTTCGGGAACTTTTGAAACTGGCGGGCTGCGCCCCCACGGGCGCAGGGCAGCACTGGCACCGCCCCTTCCCCCGTCAGGGCCGGGGAGGGGACACTGGACACCGAGTGCCAAGGGAGGGGCTGTCTAGTCCTCGCGAGGCTTCGTTCTCGCGGAGGTGGCGGCGGGCGGCCGGTGGGGATGCGCTCGGAAGAAGGGACCGGAGGCCCGGGCGCAGCCCTTTCTGCGCGGGGCCCGAGCTGGAGGGAGAAAGTGTCGGGCACGGAGACTCACTTCCGCCGCGAGTCGCCGCGGAATGAATCGGCGGCGCCGCCGGCTCCGTCCTTAAGTGACAGCGGAGCCGGCAAGCCTCGCGAGGAGAAGAGGACGGCCCTGAGCAAGGTGGGGGCGGGGCCATCAAAATCTCGCGAGAGGACGGCTTAAGACCCCCGGGTGGGCGTGGCTTGAGGGGGCGGGGCGGATTGCTCGTCTCGGGGGCGGGTCCGCATCTCCGAAGTGATGCGAGGCGCTGCCTGTGGGATGGGTTAGGATTAGGGAGGTGCGGTCCACGGTGGTCTCCCGGGCTACGGAGCCGCGGCCCCCCGGGATCTGGGAAGCCCTGGGATGGGGAGCCGCGGTCCTCGGGATCCAGGTCCCGGAGCTAAGGAGCCGAGGTCCCCCGGGCTCTGGGGAGCCCCGGGCTCGGGGGCAGCACTGGAGTGACGAGCGCTGATGGTTACCGCAGGTGGTCCTCCGGCGTCTGCCCCCGGGCCTCACCAAAGAGCAGCTGGAAGAGCAACTGCGCCCCCTGCCCGCGCACGATTACTTCGAGGTGGTGGCTGCGGACCTCAGGTGAGGGCTGCGGCGGGACACCCAGCGGTGAAGGACCGAGGACCCCGGCGGCGCTCACCATTGCAGTCCCCTCCCTGCTGTCAGTGCACGCCCACGTGAGGATCGGGCAGATCACCGAGTCAGTCTACAGGGGCTCTGTCCTTTGCGTTGCCACGCCTTCCCCGTCCTAGCTTTTGATAAACTGAATGATGAGGAAAACCAGATTGCATCCCTTACACACGAAGAGTGGATTTCGTTAGTGAGGGACCGCTAACCGAGCCCTGAGAAATGGGATCTCATTGCATGCAGCCCGGCTCACGTCAGCACCACCACCCTAGTCAGACAGGGTTCACCCTGTGGTGATGGGAGCCACACAGGGCTGACCTAACTAACCAGCAGATGTCCGCGTCACACGAATTCGTCGTTTTTCACGATAATTATTTTTATATCTTTTTATGGTTTTCTTTTTCGTTTAGGTCATATAAATGCTTTCCTTTGGGATACCAGTTTTGTTTTTTAAGTTTTAGTTATGTTTTTATTCAAATAAAAATATAATCAAACGGGTATCCTTTGAAAACCCACAGGTAGTTTTCAGATGGCTGAAGTTTAGAAAAACAGTTTAAAAGAACAGGGAGAGCCGGGCAGTGGTGGCGCACGCCTTTAATCCCAGCACATGGGAGGCAGAGGCAGGTGGATTTCTGAGTTCGAGGCCAGCATGGTCCACAGAGTGAGTTCCAGGACAGCCAGGGCTATACAGAGAAACCCTGTCTCCAAAAACCAAAAACAAAAAAAAACAAAACAAAAAGAACAGGTAATTACTCAGTGTGCCGTTCCAGTTCGTAACTTGCATCCACCTTAAGAATTCTAAACTGAATTGTGGCTGAAACTGGGGGAATGGTTTCCTTGGTACCAAAGCACTGGTCTATTCATCCAAACAGAATTTATAGTACAACATACTTGTCCGTGAAGAAACAAGTCAAAATGCCCATGGTGTTTGGGTGACTTCTGGAGACTAGTATTTTAACCTTAGCTGTGTATGGTAGAGGTACTCCTGAATAGTTAAGGCTTCAGCTAATGGTTGGTTAATCTCTAGGGTTTGGTTTTTGGTTTTTGGTTTTGGTTTTTGGTTTTTCTGCTAAGGAATACCCAGATTGTTAAAATTAACTGAGAAGTGATTCCTTGGTATAAAAAAATATTTGCTTGTTCATAAAAAATAAGGCAAAGTTAAGGGTCGTACAGTTTTCCTAACTGTTGCTGCCTCGGTTTCAGCCTCTACCCTCACCTGTACTCCAGAGCGTACATTAATTTTAGGAACCCTGATGACATCCTGCTGTTCCGAGACCGTTTTGATGGATATATCTTCATTGGCAATAAAGGTTAGTGAGTTTCAGTTAACTTCTCAGATACAGCTAAAATAAGGTCATAAACTTTTACTGTGATTGTGTCATGTGCTGGTGAAGCTTACAATCCGAACCCCAGACGTTCTGTGTGGTAAGAACAGGAGCCCGCCATTGCTGGAGAGTGAGTGTTCACCCATTCCTTTTCCGAATAAATGAACTCAGCGTTCCAAAACTAAGTTACCTCGTGACATTTGATGAAAGTTTCCTGGGCTGTATCATATATTTATGATACACTTATATTTATGCCAGGAGTCCAGAGCACTGGCCATGATTGACATTTCTCGAAAGTGTGGTGGAGGGCGTATGGTCGTGAACGTCAGCCGTGGAGCAGGTGGCACAGGCTCCCTCCCCTTCAGGAACTCTGCTCCTGAACTTTCTGGATCTGTTTCTTATATTCCTCCTTCCCCTCTCCTGTCAGAGGGTCCTGTGTTGTATTTTCTGCCTTTAAAGTCTGTAAACACCTGTAGGAAGCTCTTCTCTGCCCTCCCCAGCCGTCCTGTTGCTATCTATCCCCCTCCCCCATACTGAACAGTGTTCCCTTCCCGTGGGGGCTGTTGGGGGGGGGGGTTGTAATATCTGTGAATGTCCTGCAAGTTTAGTGCTCAGGCCATTGGCTTTTTCGTTCATTACTGACTACTTCATTCAGCTGATCATTTTATTTTTTAATATTGGTAAAACATACATAACAGAAATCATCTTATCTCCCCCCCCTCTTTTTGAGATGAACTCTGTCTCTTAGCTCAGGCTGGCCGTAAAGCCTCAGTGATTAATTCCCCTGCCTCCTGAGTGACTTGTGGGTTCTTCCTTCTTTCTTTCGTGTGTGTGTGTGTGTGTGTGTGTGTGTGTAGTTCAATAGTGTTAAAATTATCCCCTTTATACAACCAGTTGCCCAGAGTCCCTGATTGTTACATAACTGAAACTCTATTAGACACTAGTGCCCACCTTCTCCACCCCATCTTTGAACTCATTCTATTTTCTATCTTTATAATATGAATTTTATTACTCTATGCATACCCTGTATTAGTAGAATCACACTGTTTGTCTTCTCGGCTAGCTTCTTTCACTTAGCATAATGTCCTCCAGATTCAAAAGTGTTGTAACATACTGCAGAATTTCTCTCCTTTTGAAGCTGGAGAACATTCCCATATGGATGTTTGTACATTTTACCTATCCATTCGTATGTCAGTTGATACCTGGCTTGTTAGCTTTAGCTGAGGTAAACTCCCTGGATATGCAGATGTGTCTCAGAGACCCCGTTTTCAGTTTGGATGTCTACCCAGAAGTAGATTTATGGAGTCAGGTGGTAATGCACCCTGGCAGCACCTGTGGGGGTCAGATGGTTGTTTTGTGTTACATTATAGTTGCTGGCCTTGTGGGCTCAAGAGTAATAGCTCTCCTGGGATTCTTTTCTCTTGGGGATGGGGTTGTTCTTTGTTTTATTTTTGTTGTTGCTTTGATTTTAGTTAGATTGAGTTAACTTGATTTTTGAGATCAAGTGTTAGTGATGTATCCCAGGCTTACCTTGAGTTTTTCCTGCCTCAGCCCCTCAAGTATGGGGATTATAGGTTATGTACTAACTAAAATACCCAAACTTTTATGATTTAAATCTGTATTATCCAATAAATTTACAACTGAACACCTTTTAAATTACTGTTGGCCACATGTAAACCAGCTCTGAGGAAACATCACTGAAGTTCTTAGTCACTTTTTTTTCAATTAAAAAAAAAAAACTATTTTTTAGAAAAACTGGTGGCTGGAGACATGGCTCAGAGGTTAAGAGCATTAGCTGCTCTTCCAGAGGTCCTGAGTTCAATTCCCAGCACCCACATGGTGGCTCACAACCATCCATAATGGGACCTGATGCCCTCTTCTGGCACATAGGTATACATGCAATAGGATACTCATATACACAAAATAAATAAGTAAATCTTTTAAAAGTTTTAAAAGAAAGTTATTTCTGCTGGGCAGTGGTGGCGCACGCCTTTAATCCCAGCACTTGGGAGGCAGAGGCAGGTGGGTTTCTGAGTTTGAGGCCAGCCTGGTCTACAGAGTGAGTTCCAGGACAGTCAGGGCTACACAGAGAAACCCTGTCAAGAAAGAAAGAGAGAGAGAGAGAGAGAGAGAGAGAGAGAGAGAGAGAGAGAGAGAGAGAGAGAGAAGGAAGGAGCCAGGCGGTGGTGGCGCACGCCTTTAATCCCAGCACTTGGGAGGCAGAGGCAGGTGGATCTCTGAGTTCGAGGCCAGCCTGGTCTACAGAGTGAGTTCCAGGACAGCCAGGGCTACACAGAGAAACCCTGTCTGTCTC